AAAGAGGTAGCACAACTCACTGGAAGAGAAGATAATCACATAATCAAGATGTTAACATTCTACACCACATCAAATAAAAGGTAAGGAAGGAATACCTCATCACTACTAGAAAACGATAACTGGACTCGATAAAATAGTTTTCCTAAAAAAAATATTTTTAAGAGAATGATTTTATAAATTTTAACAGAAAGCAGTACTGGCTGCTCGGTCATATGTTTCCTTGTATAGAAACGGCTTATATTGTTACTACAATTTTGCGAAGTCGCTTAAGCGAATATGTATAGAAGAAATCAGAATTCATGTATAGAGAAGATAACGGAAGCATTCATTACCTTCTTTCCTACGTCTTCATCTACCAACATGAAAGTCTGTTTGCGCTGACACATGCAACTGAATCTATCCTAATGAATTTTTTTAAAATCATTTCACCCCAAGCTAAACAATAAAGCCACTAAGACGCGAGGAGTTATTATCTTTTATAGAATATGAGAGAAAAAATTAAATAGAGAGAAACAAAAAGACAGAATATAGTATTTGATATTGCATTTAATTTTTTTTAAATTAACTTGGAAGCAAGAACACGGAACAGAGTTTCGCAAAAGAGAAGTGTAATAAAAGAAATTGCCAGCATAGAACTTACGGTTACATCTTCCCATGTAAAAGGTAAAACGACGATACCTTACTGCCAATCAAGTACCGCGCTTAAATTCATAAAGTCGAGATACCACAGAGTAAAGTCTGTCAGAACAGATAAAATGAAAACATTTATTGAAAAGGCAAAGAGAAGCTACATTAAGATGGTGGAAAAATGACTGAGGCGAGATGCTATTTCAGGACTATTAACATCGCAGATTATTCTTTGGGTTTTATCAAGAATATCTAAATATATAGCAGGAGCACCAAACCAGATGCGGCAGCAATATTCAATTGAACAAACAATGAATGAAACGATAACAAATCAAAAACATACTTTAGTTCACTCTCATTAGCCAAATTAAACAGAACAAAAAGATTATTATTTACGTAATTAATTAATTTACTTACAAGTGTGGGTAAATGCATAGAAATGGATAGCAGAACATGAACTGAGAGTAATAATAAGTGAACAAGCTTCGCTTATCACTGCAAAGGATAGGAAGTTGTGGAGAACAATGACCACCGACCCGTTGTAGGAACAGAGCACATAGTTGAAGTCAAAGAAAAAGATGTGTATAAATTTCATCACAACAATGATGTTGCTGGGAGACTTTTCGAACATTATAGTCGGTGTGATAAGGGGTCTTTTTTTTTCAATTTAAAGTGATTCTATTTGATGTTCAGTGGATAGTTCCTTTTGAAGTTCGGTTTTCTAAGCACCATCCACTTTAAACGAAGGGTTACACAGAAGTATTGGAGTGGACGGCGTTTTTTAGAGATCAAGTGGCAATCACAACACAATCGGAAATAAGGTATATCTGAGTGCTAGTCTATATTAACAGTCACGATTTGCATAAGATTTCTCGTCTGTCTTAGGCGGGAGACTAACGTTCTTCGTGCGCTTTTTGAGTCATATACTTCGTATTACCAGCAACCACATCGGGATGGGTAGATGGGCGGAGAGTTTGTGGAGGGGAATAGCTAAACTGTTAAGAACAATATAGCGGAAGTTGTCCAAAGTATCACGTACCAACCTACCCACCAAGACGAGCTGGCGAAGTCCTGAAAAAAAAAACTTCTATTTTATAATATGGGAAGCAGGATCCGTGTCCTTATTACCCCATGTGGCGTTTGTCTGAGATCTTTTTGCCTTGTGAGCATACAGCGTGCACATTTCCTAGCTTTCGGTGCACACCTCTGAGATCGAAAAATGTAATGCAACGTGGGATAACCATCGGCCAGGAGGTGAGAAAGTTCCCCGAGGATCGCATTATACGTTTACTAGAGAACTAGAGGTCATGAAATGAGGCAGTAAATTCAGTAAAATTATAAATTGAAAATTTGAAACTATATCAACTTGTCGACTTGTCTTGTTTATTTTTCTTTTCTTTTTTTTTCAAAAGTTAACACATGACCACAGAATAAACAAAAAATCTATCTCAATTTCGAGGTTACGGCATTTAATGTCGAACATCAAATTGCTGCTTAATATATAAAAGCGTAATTACAGCTTTATTTAACATTTGCTCAAAAATTCTTTGTCTAACGCTTGGAAAAAAATGTCAGTAATTTGATTGCTAATTTGCAAAAAAAGCTCGGCTGTTTCGCCCTTGATGACATCGTAATACAATCTTCAAATAGCTATGAGCCTCGTTCATTAAGCTTGTGAAAATTTTTCTATAAAGCAAGATTTGCAAACATCCTTGTTTGAAAAATATATTATACTTGATATGTTTTCCAAATATGAATGCGACACTTATACTCACTTATTCTTATACACAATACTTCTCGACTTTTGTTGTTCTTCCGAACACTTTATTCAATTTAGAAATTTATACTCACTATTTCTCAACTTTTGTTTTTCCGAACACCTTAATAAATTTACAATCTTATACTCACTACTTCTCAACTTTTGTTGTTCTTCCAAACATTTTATTCAATTTACAATCTTATACTCACTACTTCTCGACTTTTGCTGTTCTTCCGAACACTTTATTCAATTCACAATCTAAGCCTGATGATTTATTACAACATCCTGTCCAAATATATTAAAGCAGTTTTTTTTTTATTTCGTCATGAAATAATATAAGCCCATGACGCTGAGTGTATGAGCATTAACAAACATTAAACATGTTCTGCATTTTGTGTTTAAAAAGCATCAGAGCAAATTGTATATTTTTAAATAATTTCTCTCGAAGCAAACCAATAAATCCACTCAGAATCAAGGTGATACTGAGGATTAGGAAATATGAGAAAAATATTTTTATTAAGCAGAGAAGACAATAATTAGACAAAACAGAAGATATTTATGCGATTTATTACTATTCACATTATATTTATATCTTTGAAGATCAAAGTTGACCGGAAAGCAAGAAGCCGGAAAAATATTTCCACAAGAAAGAAGTGCGATAGAAGAAGCTGTCAGCATAGGACCTACGGTTATATATAACCATTTCAACTGTAAAATGATGAGACCTTGCCGCTAGACTTGTACTGCGCTTATTTTCATAAATTCTAGATACCACAGATGAAAGTTTATAAGAACAATAAATGCCCTATTTTAGTGCAATGAGTAGATACTGGTTCAGATTTAGAATCTTGAAACTCTGAAAATACGAATCATTTTTATGTCTTATCTTGCCGGAAAAGAAGATCAATGCTGATCTAAACCTCAAAAGGAAATAAGTCAGAAACTAAGGGTTGGTTACATTATTTAATATTTAAATGCCCGTTTAAAAATAATATCATTATAATATTATCTTCACAATCTCCGTAACCCATGAGAGGAGAATGTGCAACACATGAATTACATACATAGCAAAAGATATGCATTTCGGGAAATAATGCCTGAATATCGCAATCCCGATTCAGTTTGTTTTGAAAGATTTTTTTTCGACCAGTCAGTACCCAAATCAAATGACACAGTCTGCCAAACCTTTGAACCCATATCTAATGGAGATAAGAGGTTCTTACCTTTCATTCCTGCATTAGACTAGCCCGGAATTGAACTTGACCACTCAACTTTACTTTTCTTACCGATGTTCATTACAATACTGAAACATGTACAAATAACTACATGGTAGGTAAGGCTAACTGCTAGTTAATCAGCCTTACAAAAATTTATTTCTTTTTCTCTTATTTTATTTCTCTATCATTTTTCCTACTCTGCACGATCGACGTTTTTTTTTTCTTCTTCTTTTTGTAATTCTAAGCAAAATGCGTCACTTTACTATCATTCCTAGTCTATGTCCTGTCATCTATACACAATACATAGTTTTTCTTTCCTTCTGATCCTGATCACTTTCATATATCATGTGCATTTCAATTTCTCCATCCTTATCATATGTACCAGTTATTTCAACTTTCTCTGATTCCAAGTGTGAGTTTTTCCATTTTATCTTAAAATCATGTTTTTTGAAATGCACCATCTGAAAGTTTTCCACTGCCTTAACCGGGTATTGAACTCACACTCTTTGGGTCCTGTCACTGGATTTAACTAACGCCATTATCCACTGTGTCGTGTACCACTCGGTTAAGGCAATGTAGAACTTGGAGGGAGGAATTAACAGGAGATAACTGATAGCTGACATCCATTAAACATGGCACGTGGAACTAAAACAGTCTACCCCATTGAGCGAAATAAAGGGTTCAGTTCGACATTCCAACCACCTGAAGAAGGCCGGAGCGTACAACGGCTGAAACGTTGTAATAAATATGGCGACAAAGATGAGGACAATAGTCCGAATAATGTAAATAATGGAAATATTTCGCTTTATTGATAAATAGTTTAGCTGTTAAATTTGACACATTCGTTCGAGTACAAAGAGTCTGCGTGTGATGTGAATATCATTGCAGTTCTTCTTATGTTATAATGTCTAAAATGAAATCTAAAACTTTGTAATTAATTTTCCTCTCGTTAGTTTTTACCAACAAAGCGTCTGTTCGAATTTTTCACAATTAATGGAAATTAATACAAGCTTTAAAATTTGTATCTTAATGAACTCTAATGACGACACTTTTCACGTTTTTATTGTTTTATTTAATATTACGCCATTTTTTTTCTTTTGAAATCGTGATTCACGAAGATGGTTTGCCTGAAAGCGTAACGTGACAGAAATTAAGTTTTTACTTTACTGTGACAAACAGCGAACCACTTATCTAAACGTGTAGCCTGTTAATAATAATTTACCCGATAGAAACATGACCATCATTTTTTAACTTTTAAATCATTTCCTTGATTAAGAATTTTGCATTATTTGTGCAAATGCTTTCTGGAAATTTAGAGATAAAATTCCTATCATTGTTTAATGACTTTGCTGGATTAGGATCCTAACATTTAGTTTTTCAACGCAAATTTCTGACCAATGACTTCTTGGTGGATTGTCTTTATTTTTGGTTTCGTAAATTACGACATTTCTGTTAACGTTGTTGTCGTCGTTGTCCTTCTTCTTCTTCTTCTTCTTCTTCTTCTTCTTCTTCTTCTTCTTTCTTCTTCTTATTTTTCTTCTATTTCTTCCTATCTTCTTTCCTTTCTTCCCATTTTCTCCTACTCCTTCTTCTTCTCTTTCTTCGTATTTTCTTCTTCTTCTTCTTCTTCTTCTTCTTCTTCTTCTTCTTCCTTCCTCCTCCTCCTCCTCCTCCTCCTCCTATTTATTCTCATTCATTTTCTCTTACTTCCTATCTTTTCCTCTGTTCTTTTTTCGTATTTCTTCATTTTCCCTTCCATCCTATTTTTCGTCTTTTCATTTTTTCCATTTCTTTTTTTTCTTACTATTTACCATCTGCAGCTTCTCCATTTCCTACTTTTTCTTCTTCTCTTTCTTCTTTCTTTTTCTTCTTCTTCTTCTTCTTTACTTCCTATTTCTTCTACTTCATCCTCTTTATCTTTCTTCTTTTTTCTCTTTCTTCCTATCTTCTTTCCTTTCTTCCCATTTTTCTCTTACTCCTTCTTCTCTTTCTTTCTATTTTTCTTCCTTTTTTCTATTTCTTCTTCTTTTTATACTTTCTTCTTCTTCTTCTTCATTCTTATTCATTTTCTCTTTCTTCCTTTCTTCTGTTCTTTTCTCGTATTTCTTCATTTTCCCTTTCTTCCTATTTTTCTTCTTTTCATTTTTTCTATTTCTTTTTTTTTTCTTACTATTTACTTTCTGCAGCTTCTCCATTTCCTACTTTTCTTCTTCTTCTTCTTATTCCTACTATCCTCCTTTTTCTTTCACTTCTGCAGTTTATTCTTTTTCTAATTCATCTTCCTTAGCTTCTTCTTTTTTTCTTCTTCTTCTTCTTCTTCTTCTTCCTTTTTATCTTTCGCTTCTATGCTTCTTCTTCTTGCTATCCTCCTTTTTCTTTCACTTCTGCTTCTTCTTCTTCTTCTTCTTCTTCTTCTTCTTCTTCTTCTTCAAACAAAATCAAACACTAGTCACTCCCGTTCATCTCAAATGATCTTCATTAGTTCCACTCCTCAGAACAATATAATATCTTAGCTGGTTCCATAAATGCTTTATTCGGTCTCCCATTCTTCTGTTTTCCTTGTTTAGACTCTTGCCAGAGTACTTTATTAATCCACATTTCTTTCCTCATACAAATACGCCCATTGAATAGCATTCCTCAAATTTGTAGTGAATCCCTCACATTATTCAATTTTCTGTATAGCCCCTTTACAACAAATAAAGTCATGAATTCCACGTGGAGCATGGGGATCAGAATATGGCTAGCTTGAAGTGCACAAACTCTAAATACATTTTCTTCGATGTTACAGTTTTTTATTTCGAAGTTTTGAAATAAGATATTGTCTATATTCCGTAAACTCTGCGAATTCGAATATCGCAATACTTGTTGTTTCGATTACGAACATTTTTGGCAGAATTATTCCATTTCTTTCTGATTATTTTTGGAAATACCTTATTATCATTATCTTTGTTTTTCTTGTTTAAATTTTTATATTCCAACAGAGGCATCCGTTCGCTTTTTTAAGTTCTGTTTGTTATTTAGAAGTTTTGATTTTTCTATAAATAATTCATCACAGTATCCTTGTCTTTGTTCCTGTGATTTAAAAGAATCTTTCAGACATTGTATAAACCAGATTTCCTCAGGCGTATTCTACACCTGCTAATGGTTGAAATCGTTATCTCGTCCATAATTCTTGTCGATATACATTAAATATCGCATTAAATTTAGAAACATCTCTTAAAAGCCAAAGTTATTTTCTGCTGGTTTATCTGGTTAATTTCAAGTTATGGATAGAGACTATTTTCTTTTATGGTGCGGTGGTTTTTCAAGCATAGCTTAGATGTGGCACAAGGACAAAAGTATGAGACAGCCGGTGGGGCTCGAACTCTTGATTAATTCGTAATTGATCTAATGATACAAGATTACTAAACATTACACTGTGTCACCGTGCCCAAAATGATTTTCTCAGCGTAGCTTAGATCTAGCACAAGGACGATATTGTGAAACACCCAGGGAGAATCGAACTCCCTTTTCAGTCGTAATTGATTTAGCGAGATATGTTTGCTAAGCATTACACACGTCGAAGTGAACAAAATCATTTTCTAAGCTTAGCTTAGATGCGGCAGAAGGCCGAAAATGTGAGGCCACCACTGAAGATTTCAAGCTTTCTTTCTTCTAAAAATATATGTTCTTTGTTCCTGATCGTAAGCAACAGTTTCTGTCCAGTTCCTATGAAAGAATAATTGTGAGAACAGAGAATGTATGTTTGTCAACAAAACATACAACCAAAAATCCAATTTCCAAGCAAAGATGCCAACGAGTCGGAGATAGCAAAATCAAGCAAGTACTAAAATTTAAATATTTTAGTAATATAGGACGGAAAAATGTGACACCGAAATACGAAGGCGCATTGGAATAGCGTAGATGCCTTCCATAATTTAAACAGAATATGAAGAAACATAAAAATGACATTAGAATCAAAGAAATTAATACTAAACTGTTAGATATTGTCTGTTCTCTTATATAGCTGTGAGTGTTGAAGAAGAAATTTGAGGAATCAGAAATGTGGTTCTACAGAAGAATGATGAGAATGCCATGGACGGAACATGAGCAACGACAAATTTTCAAGGAAAATGGACACAGAAATAATACTTATGGCATCAGTTCTCAACTCTGTATCTATGCTGATGATATATATATATATATATATATATATATATATATATATATATATATATATATACCGATGCAATGAGAACGAAAGTAATTTATAAATTCCAACGTTCACGGCATTAATCCAAAAGAGGGCTCGATACCGATAGTAGAGCGATAATTATTTATTTATTATAAATTTATCATATAGACAATACTCACTACTCACTACAAAGATGCAACTTGGTTTCAGTGCATTTCAACTGCACTTCGACGGGTGAGAATCGAAAATGGTTATGAAAAATCCTGCTTGTAGGCAAGCCGTATGTGAAACGTCACTTTCTTTTTTTCCATTTGTTTATTATTATTATTATTATTATTATTATTAATATTATTATTATTATTATTTTCTTTGATTTCTGGCGTTTACACATTTCTTTCCGGGACTCGCCCAGGGATCTAAGGCTAGAAATGGCATCATGACACTTTCCACTGAAAAAAAAATTACATAGCTAAAGCCCTTCGTAAAGTTTGGGCTGTACTTGTGAGAACAATGTTTTGTATCTCCTTGAGGCATGGACTTCCAGGAATCCCTTCAATTAGTCTACTGCAATCTTCTCCAACCATTCCTATGGCTCCAACTACAACAGGGATTGTTGATGTTCCCATATGCCACATTTTCGAGATTTCTATTTCAAGGTCCTTGTATTTTGACAGCTTTTTGAATATCTTCAAAGATTCATTGCAGTCAGCAGGAACTGCCATATCAATAATTAGGCACCGTTTTTGTTTGTGGTCTTTAATAACAATATCTGGGCGGTTGGCTTTGGTTGTTCTGTCAGTTATTGTCTGTCCCACAGAATGGTAAAATAACGTTCATACCAAAATACATTATATAAACTAATAGTGCAGATATTGGCCCATTTCATGCCGGTTTTATATTCAGTGGTTGCCAAAAACAACCTGATACAAGATTTAAACAATATTATTATTATTATTGTTAGAATTGCATTTTAATAAATTTTCCCTGGTTTTGACTTTGCATTTACTTAGAATCAGAAAAAACTATCGAGATCATAATGCTATAGACGGTTTAAAAAAACATTTACAACTCTTCGAGAAAAAAATCAAAATAATATCAGGCAGCTTTATAATATTTTAAAGTTTTCATATTTTATTTAAAAAATATTGTTTCATTTTCATTATCCGTACTTTAAAAAAATATATTGTTTTCATCTGCCCACATTTTTTAAAAAAGATCATTTCGTTTCCTCATCTGTACTATTTTTTAAAAGATTTCATGTTCTTCAACTGTATTTAAAAAAGTTGGTAAAAAAAAAAACCTTTTTTTTTTTTTTTGTTTTTTACCAGGAACATGAAATATTATAAGGAAATATCTTTTTTTAAAAAAGTTTAATTATCTTTTTTAAAGTACGGTGAAAATGAAACAATATTTTTTAAATAATCTTTAAAATAGTTTGCATTTTTGATTTTTTTTACGACATCATAAAAAAAAAAAACAGGGAAAATATAAAAACAATCTAGTATTGTTTAAAATATGGTGGTTTTAACTTGAATTATGAAATATATATTAGTGGATATTTTTTTTCGTGAACTATTTATTTTATTAGCCTGTAACGAATAGCAGTGTTACTCTTCCATCCTTTCATATTTGTCAAAGTTTCCACTCAAAGAAATATTCTATCAGAAGTAAAAGTAAAATGAAAAGAGATTTCTGCTAAAGAATAAATACCTAATTTTAGTTCTCATTTAAGAAATTATTAATTTTTTCCTAAATTTCTTTAAAAAAACGAATACTAACGTTTTGTATTTTTTTTTTTTTTTGTTATCGTTTTTCTTTTTTTCGAATCAATTTAATTTTTGGGCCGTTGCAAAGAAGCAAAGAGAAACATTTATTGATCTTGATTAGAGATGGCACGTTTTTCTTCATTATCTTAGTTTATAAAAGAAAATTTAAGAATAAAAATAAGGATAAAACAAATAGAAAAAAGAAAAACACTTTTGTCTGTGACAGGTAATGAATTGTCATCTCGTGACGTCCTATTACTAAATAAATTCGTTCGCAGAATTTTTCACGCACAATCTGTCTGTTTTGCAAAAGAGAAAAAAGAAAAAAGTTCTTAATCGTAATTAATTGCACAGAAAAAATAGTTATATGGTATAAATAACAAAGTTTGATCACAACAAAAAATCTAAGTTCCAAGGTTTTAGTTCCTTTGCAAATTTGGCAAATTTATTCAACTTAAGATTTGTAGGGAGCTTTTGAGATTTTCGAAGATAGAATCAGGTAAAGATGAATGAAAATCATTATCTGATTTTTTTTTTTTTTTTTGCCTACCTGTATTATGTATCTCTCAACTCTTGAAGGGCATGTAAAAAAAGAAAAATTTTGAAAAAAAATTTGAAAAAAATTTTGACTGTATTTTTATCGAATAGAAAACACACATAAACACTAGTCAACACAGCCTACTCTTTCTAACACATCACAGCGAACAAAAATATCTTATTCTGGGAGCACAATCAATCCTACTAACAGAATCAGAGGCCACAGAGAGTCGAACACAAGAAAAAAAGCACGTAGTTCAAATAACACTCAAGTAGACACTCAGGTTTGATCATAGAATCCCACTTGAACTTAGATGAACACGTGAATAGAAAAATAACACAAAATATTCAACCCTACATGACCGACGTGGCATTTCGTCTATGTTCCGTATTCGGTCAGGAAGTTAGCGATCACGAGTCTCCACGATTTCCTCTCCCTTGTACTTCTTTTTCTCATCTCTCCCAATTTTTTTTCTCTCTTTCCTAGCTTCAATCTGTCCTGTCAGTATCAAATTTATATGCCCAAAAAATTTCAACCATCTCTTTCAGATGTTAAGAACAACTCTCCATTTTGTTGCCATTGTCTCTAGAACTTCGGCGTTGATCACATACTCGGTTCAATGTATTCTCAGCATGTTTCTGTAGAGCCACATTTCTATTGCTACAAGTCTCTTCTTTATCTGTGACAAGAATTCGCTGTCATATAGGAGGATTGATTCCACATAACAGCTCAGTACTTGTTTCTTGGTTTCTAACGATATTCTCTCTCTCTCTCTCTCTCTCTCTCTCTCTCTCTCTCTCTCTCTCTCTCTAACACCCTGCTTACCTTTTGGAAAGTATCTATCGCTATCCCATGGCGCCTTTGTGCTCACCAGATATCTAAATTGTTGCACCTGCTTGATTTCGGTATCTACAATTTGTAATTTACATGAAGGGCTGTTCTTGTTGTTAACAGTCATGCGTTCTCTCTTC